TTTTTTTTCCAGAAATTTCAGGGGAAAAGGACTATTTTTCATATGCGAAGGAGAAGAATATCTTCAAAATGAGTGGTCAATCATTGGATGAAGAATTGACGAAGTTATGGCGTACCGACAAAAAAATAACCTTTAGGAATAATATATAGGATTACTAATATTCAGATTCTAAAGACGGTAGTATTTAAAAAAACAGATGATCTGTAAAATATGATTAATAAAAAAACAACATCAAAAATATTTCATGAATGTTCACAAAATGTCAAAATAACGAGGTTATACAGACCAAACGGCTTTTATTTTAACATTTTTGTAGACGTTTTTTTCGATTTTGTGATCATATTATCCTACGATTCAATTAGAAAGCAAATGAGTATTCGTGAGTATTTAGTGCCTACTTAAATAGATGAAGGTTGCCGATCTGCAGATTGAAAACTCCCCAATTCTGAGAATTTTCGTAAATAACATATTTGTAGGTTACGATGAGATGAAGCTATTTACGAAGTTTTAGGCGGATGTTAATAATTTGATAAAAAGGAGCTGTACCTTGAATTATGTCTAACTTATGGCTTCAGCAAATCTTAAACCAGAATGAAGAACATTGGTCCGTTTTATGTATGAAATTCCTTATATGCCAGTTTACTATAATATATTTAAGTTGTTTTTTATTACTTTTTTGTGAATTAAATTCTAAAATTTATATTTTGTAATAATAATTATTATTTAAATCATCTTGTATTACATTGCATTAACTTATTTTGTCATTTGTTCAGTGACCGATATACCATGCGAATTATTCGCAAGGGCCAACTAGTTTAGTACTAAAAATATACTCTATTTACTATTAACCTTTTTTTTTCAAAATATTTTTTAGCCATTAATCGTAAAAGTGCGTGCCTTATGCACTGATTCATTGCTATGTCATCAGAAAACATTTTAATTAACTATCCCCCAGCCCTCTTTAGCTAAATAAGCTATGAAGACAGGGGATGCCAACGAAATATTCCCATCAGCTATTGAAGATATTCCCGAGAGAGATTCCTGAGGCTGGTTTCTCAGTCAGAATCCGCTTTTGGAATTTCATACGTGCTTCACACAAATTAATATTTCTGCTCGTAGTTGCTGGTGAATCCCCTCTATTTCCCATATTGCATATTTAACTCGTGCCACATTCCTATTTAACATCATAACAACATTATTACAAGTAATCTCCAGGCATTGTACAGTCAGATCAATAATAGTATGGAACAGAAAGCTCTAAACCGCATACCTCTTTTTTTTTTTTTTTGTACTTATGTCGACTTTAGAGCATTTGCTACAAACAATTCAATCAACCACTATTATGGTAAATGGATAGCTATCAGTCTACCAGAATCAATTTGAACCGAACAGGTGGAAGATTAATGTACCTTAATTGGGAATCACGTTATGGTATTCCATGAGATTTTGTCTGTGGAGAGTATGCCGTCTGAACGGTCAGAATCCTTGGATCTTGGCAAACTTGTTACTGTCCTTGAACACTGTTGAATCTACGTCGGTGGGACATCAGCCGCAAGCAATAATGTTAGAGGACTACATTGCGCGGTCAAAAATCATATTAAAGTTGATAGTGCAAAAATAATTCATAGGTATATATTCCAATATTCTCACTCTTTTTGGTTTATTATTTTTTTTCTTCAAGTAACTTAAATTTTCTGAAAACCAAATCTTGTTTTAAATAACTGTTTTGAACGTTTTCATAAGGGATATACTATCGCAGCTGTGGCAGATTGGTCAAAGGAATCCTAATAACACATAATTAACCTTGGAGGGTTATCAGGTATCGAAGCGGAAGCAAGGTTTGAAACGAAATGGTTCGGATGGTTTTGAAGTTTGTTACGGAAGGATAGCTATCTGGATTGAGCAAAATCGGAAACATTTGGTTAATTAATGTCGCTATGAATGATTTTATTTGTGACAAAGTAAGGAGCATTGAGGATTTTACAAAGGATTTCGGATTGTAAAGATTGGATACGAGAGGAATTCGATGGATTAGTGGAGCCCCTAAGCTCAATTCCATAAGTCCAGATTGGCCTTATTATATTCATGTATATGAGTCTTTTGTAATATATAGAAAGTTTAGAGCATTTGTCTAGTAAGTGCTAGAGTAGTCTAAAACGTCGTTTCAGTCTTGTATGAGGATGTCCAGGATGTCCAGATGCAGTCCTAGGTATCGGATTTGTTCAACAGGGATAAGTGGGAGGAAATTGTTAAAGGAAACTGTAGGACCGGAAGTCAAAATTTAGCTTAAAAATGAAAATTTAAAAAATGTTTACTTTTATAAAACGATTTTATTTTCTGATATACGAGGGAGAGAGGGGGGATGGAGAAGAGGAGATCATTCTAGCGGTACAATTAAACTTATTCTAACCAGAATAGGATAGTTCAGTTTCCTTCTATAAGTCCTTCACGATATAAATTTGAATCCACCCAGGCCAGTTTTCACCTCAACCGCTAGACTCTAGAGTGTTAATGCGGTCAACGCCTAAACATGCTTGGAGTATCACGGCCTGAATATATATAGTTCTGGAGGAACTATCCGAGTCTTGCTATACGCATCAAAATCTTCAAGGTCCAATTTGTCCCGTATCGATCTACAGACCTACCAACGTTCCATTATTGAAGCCTAGCAAAATGTTTGTATCGACTTTATTTATTTTAGAAAGAAAAACAAAAGTAGACGATTCGAAAAAAAACCCACCGTGAAATTCTGAATCTAACGGTACCCCATTCATGGTACTTGAGCATGACATGAGCTTATATTTGGTACACAACCGATTTCGAGCCTTACTGTAATAATATATGTGGGGATATGGATTAAAATAGCTCAGAAACTATATTTTGCAAGCAAGGGAAATATCCAGCATTTCATTGTTGGTGTTTTCACTTCTATCGTGTAGTCTAAAGAACACAATTATTTTTTTCTTTACATAGTTAATAGCTATAGAATATGTTATTGTTAATAAATAATAATAAATCACTCCTATATCGCTGGCCCTGACGAAAGCACCCCCCAGAGACGGCGGTCGGCCCAGTAGAAGTCCACCCTCCTTCCCCTCCCCCTCCCCCCACTGACAGGCACAAAGGATCAACAACAGGTGGTCGCTACCTGCCCAATTAGCTACAGCTCAGTCAGCTGTTGGTCGCCTTATCTGGCCGGATTGTCTGATATCTCTGCTCCCTCATCGATGTTTTCAGAGTGTCTATTTCTGTAATCTGTGTTTATATTGTCGATCCTATGATGTCTCATCTATGTAATACTATACGCCATGTTTTATTGATAATATCCTCACCATATATTGACATACGCCATATTGACAATAATGAAGAACTCGGTAGCGACCCAGATTTATCAAATTTTAACATTCGTCTAAAACTCCGTAAATGCTTTCATCTTATCAACTTTTATAATTCTTAGGAAATTTCTTTATTGAGATATATTCGATCTGTCACATTTAAGGACATTAGTAATAGTGATATAGAGATTAGCTCATTCATACTATGCGCAATAAATAAAAATAAATAAACAGTAATATAATAATACTAAAAGTAAATGTATATAAACTAAATGATCCTAAACTAAACAAAAAAAAAAAAAAAGTGGTACTTCCAGTTAGCTTATTTCAAGGAAAAAGTTGCTGTCACATCTAAGGCATGTACCTATCTTAAATACGTTATATCAGTTTCGTAGGACTTTTCGTTTTTGAGCTAGACTGCTAACATACAAACACATAGACACACAGACCATTTTTCGGGACTTGGTTATTTTGAATCAGGGTACTCCAAAACGTGTATTTCTATTGAAAACTCAGATTTAAAAATTGTCTCGATCGCAATACTTACCCTTACTATATATTACATATGTACGTAAATGAAAGTAATAAACCAATCTAACAAAATAAATATTACAAGACACGCTTGATTTTATACAATATTTAAAATATTCATTCACTCAAGGTCTCCGCGCCTAGCCTTTCCCCACACTTGTGGAGGGAAAGGCAAGACACTAGGAGATCACAGCGTCTTTCACTCAGATGCATAACATTTATAATTAATAAAATCCTCGACAATGGGCGTTTTTAATCTGATCGTCAAATTTTGTATGAATTGTGAATAAACTATAACTTTGAATTGCTATGTGTTTATTAAAAAGAACATTTTTTAGAGACGGCTAAATTCGGTAGCGGTTAAATAAAATGGCTGTATTTAATTTCAATTGCTAAACCAAGTTTCAGAGAATATTCCTAGAACTTGACTCCAGTTACGTTTAGAAAATGTCTTCTATTCGTACCATATCAAACAGTTTCGTTTGTGTTCTTACTTATATCATAGTTGTCATGAAAAATATTTTTTGATATTTAAAAAGGATCGGGTATTTAATTAACCTAATATTATGTATCAATGTAGTTATTAAAAAGTAACTGGTATCAAATGGGGCGCACCTATTGTAAACCCTTCGATTCACCCACTTTTTAAATAGTGCAAAAACATTATGGGTTTTAAATCAGAATGATTAAAATTAACATTGAGTTTAGTTTTTTATTGACAATGAAATAGACAACGTTTCGGTAATATTTCCAGTGCTACGACATAAATAATTTTATTACAGAATGATGATATAAACTTTTTATTAGGTACATAGAACTTTAAAACAAATAAATGAAAATAATAAAGAAATATTTTTGTTCCCTCTTGAATGGCATATTCTTGGCTTTAATAATGATGATACATATTTTATTTTCTATTTTCCTCTTTTATTTTATTGATTTGGGTTTTGGTTTATAAAAAATTAAAAATAGGTCAGTTGGATATTTAATTACTATATCTTTGAATTAGGTAAAATTGTATTCAATAATTTATATATTTCTTAAATATTGGTTCGTATGTGATATTTTTGAAAAGTAAGAATATCTATTACATTTAAGCCATAAATAGATAATTTAGTTTAGCCATAAATAGATAAGATCATGAGAGTACAAGCAATACAATATCCATATTAGCAATTCTAGGAATTATGGAGAATTTATAGAAATTTTACTGAGCAAGATTGATATGTAAAATCTGGTCCGACATTAAATTATTTTATATTTATTATTGTTTGGTATTTAATATTAAAAAAACTTCGACTAGTCTTAAAGAAATATAACAATTTATTATAATGTCTATGAATAATCGAAACTTAAAATTTTTCACAGCTTTTTATATAATAAATTCTAAAAATAATGTTTTCCCATCAACAAATTTTCGACTAAAAACATTTTTTTACCCCATTTCATATACTTCTGTCCCTTGAATGAAGTTGAAAAAATACCCCATTTCATATTGTTCAATCGCTTGAATAAAGTATAAAAAAAAAAAAAAAAAAACACTGCCACTAATAATAATGTGAAGCATGATGGTCATCATATATTTTCTGTTTACATACACCACTATCAACCTAAATTATCTCCATAAACGGGATACACTATGTATTTTGGCCATCCTTCACTTCTTCACTTGTCCCTCTTTCCTGAACCAATTGATGCAGCGAAACTTCGAACTCCTCGACTTCTTCGGCGAAGTATCTTCCTGGAGCTTCCGTTCCTCAGGAGTCAAACTGGTCGCCAGGTGCATCTCGAGGTAGGTGAGCTTCCTCTCCAATGCGGGCCTCAGCCTTAGCAACTTGTTCTCCATGGTTCTCTTGCACTTACTGATCGTCTCCGAAGGATGACATGGCTTTAGCATGAGGATTCGCCAAGTCTTGAACGGAAGACTTGGCGGGAATTAAAATAGCCAGCCATCAACCAACTTGTTACAGGAATACTTGTTACTTAAAGGCAATTCATACCAAATGATTTTTTTTTTTTTATATTTACAAACATATGTTTACTTTATTTTGTTTTTAATTCAGCACAAAGTCACGAATACAATAGATAAAGTCAGTTACATATTTTATAATTTGATACAGTAAACAGTATAGTATTCAAGAGTTAAAAATATAAAATAATTTATTTTTTTATCTGCTCTTGATCTTTCTTTAAATCCGCTGATTTTATTTTTAAAATGGAATTCATTATTGTAAATTAACATTTCTAAAAATAAAAAAATGAAACACTAGTATTTTTTTACGTAAATGTAACAAAATATTAGGATTAAAAAAGCATTTAGTTATTTACTTAATACCAATAGGCATTAGGATCTATCATCACAATATTCAGTCATATAAATATATATATATATATATGACTATAAAAAAAAATAAAAAAATATATCTATGACTATATAAAAAAAAATAAAAATTAAAAAAAAAAAATATATATATATATATATATTTTTTTTTTTTTTTTTTTTTTTTGTCTGTTGCCTTAACAAGCCTGCTCTATCTCTGGCTGTCATGGACTGTTTTTTCAGTTATCTGCTTGCAGCTCTATTGCATCTTTATTGATTCTATCTTTCCGTCTGTTTTTTTTTTTGGCCTTCCACTTGTTCTTTTGCCTTTCGCATTTGCCTTCTATTCATTGTTACGTGGAACCTTCAGATGGATTTCTACGAGCTACATGTACTACCCATTTTAACCTCCATGCCTGTATATCATGGGATATTGATTACCCAGTTTCTGTAAGCAGTTCTTGATTGTTTTTTCTTCTAAACATGTTAGTACACTGATCCCAGTGTACTCACTGCTCCGGTTTGTGTGCGGAGGATTTTTCTCTCGAATCTTTCAATAATGTTTTCTAGGATGCTGGTTAGTGTCCAGGTCTCATAGCCAAATATTAGAACTGGATTTATCATAGCATTTCACACACTTAATTTAAGATTTTTCTGGATTTAAATTCCTTTGAAAGGCAGAAGAAAACTCTGTTATACGCTGGTCTATTTCTGACCGATGGTCGTTCATTAAGGTTATTGTAGAGCCAAGATATGAATTAATGCAACAAAAATATTAATAAATACTAAATCGAAATCAGTGAAACATGAAGCTGAACATGTTTTCTTAAATAAAAATCAACATTTTTATAAGAATCACCATTTGGTCTACCTTGGTCTGGCTCTAAAAGAAAAAAAAATCACTTATGTCACAACCGTACCCAAAAAATATGTTGCAACCGTGCCTAACTCACTCCTTCACTTATAATTATAAGTATAAAATTATCTATTTATAAAGTAATAACTGTTATTTAACTGCTAATGTTTAAGTTATAACGAGGAATAACAATCATTACTATATCTGTACATGTATAAACTATTAATAAAAAAAATCTAATAAAAATAGTTACTTTTGTCCGTTAAAAAGTCATGAAGGCCTCAACTTGCGTTAATGTCGTGCGATGGCTGGTGTTATGCTATACTATACGCTGCTATGAAACATGTTCAAGCCTACACGCTTCCCATTTTTCCCTTTAACTCTATCGGCTATTCCTTATAGTTTTGCTAATATGGTGACTGTCATAAGTGTACCTTGACTCCCCTAATTTTTAACTACATGAACCAAATTTTTTTTTTGTAACCCTTCCTATGAATTAAAAAAACTTGACCGCATTAAGAAAAGACAAATTTGGACATAACTCCTTTTCCGTTCGAACTTTGCCCATACAACAAATGAAATATTTTGTTACAAATTTTGTCTAGAATCAGCTCCAAAAGTTTGGCAATTAATACTTGAGCCACTCGGAACATTGAAAAGTACTTACCATACAAAGAAAATAATATGAAAAACAATAATAAAAACTCTATAAAAAATATTATTTAAGGACCGGTGAAACTCCCATTTCCCTCTGAATATAAAGATTAAATGAAATGGTTGTTTACGAAAGTGTGTCAGTAAGGCAGTTGAGATTGGTCCTCCTTCTAGCCCTAATGTTCCTTTGTCATGGAAGCTGTAGCACGCAATCCTTGGATTTCTGATTCACGTAAAAATGTAAAACAGTAGTCGAATAATATGCATAATAATCCTGTGTTTATAAAAATGTAAAATTATTTTATTTTCTATTTAACTGTTTGTTTCGATTTCTAGACGCAAAACATCCAGGTCATCAGCGCCCGATCAACTAAATAACACTACTTTTATACTGTTCAGGTGGTTGGTATAAAAAATAAAAAAAGGATGAATAATAAAAAAAAAAGGATAAAAATAATAAAATAAATAAATAATGATAATAATAGACACTTATATAAAATAACATAGAATGGATAAATTAATTAATTTGAAAAAATAGCAATAAAATCAATGAATGAATTGAAATTAATAAATCAATGAACTCTTAAAATTAAAAAAATAATTAATAAATCTACAAAGGATCATTAGTTATAGACTTCTCTTTTTTTTTTTTTTTTCCTTTTTTTTTTTAATAATTAAGTACCTACTGAATACAAAAACATAATTAAACAGTTAGGAAAAAAATAGAAGAAATAAGTTATTTAAATAAATTATTTGTAAAAATGAAAAAATAAATAAAACATGAATTATGAAAACTCAATGGTGTTGAGTTTTTTCCATGGAAAAAAATTCCTTCTCATTATATGCTACAGCTCCTTTCAATGTCTTAGCAATCATTGAGATTTTTATTGCTTAGGAATAAACTAGCAAATTATACAGTAAAAAAACTACTATCATGAAAAGAAAAAAAGTAAAACTCAAAATTTAAGACATTTTCATGAAAAAACTCTACAATCGCAAAGAAAATATGACGTCATACTGAAATATTGTTTCTTGATCATTGTCAAGAAATTTAGTTTGTTCTGAATTACCTCCATTCTGAATTAAATAAATTTTTTATTTATAACTTTTATGAATATACTCCTTTAAGAAAAATATTTTATACTAACTGATTTCATATATTGCTGGTCAAAAATTTAAGATCATCCCATTTTTTTAAAAATAATTTCATTCATTAAGAAATATATCAAGGAAACCTGTAATCATATTTTAAATGAAACGTTAAGACGACCGAAAATGTTATAAAGATATTTTAGAATAAAGCGATAAAAAAAAAAAAAAATTATACTATTCATTTTCATAAAAAATCCTATCTCATTTTCAAGCTGGATGAATTTTAATGAATTTGTCTTACTTATCAAATGATATATTATTCCATGAACTTTTCACAATGTTCATCATGAACTTTTCACAGGGAAATGTTCATCATTCCATCCTCTTTATAATGAATGAGTTATTATTTATAATTTATATTTCATATTATGAATCTCGCCTTTTTGATGTTTTTACTTCTATCGTGTGGTCTAAGCACACACCTCAGTTGTTTTTTTTTTTTACTAAGCGGTTAATGAGAGAAATAAAAAGAAAAGTAAGTGAAAGTAAGAAAATCTGTTGCCCGCATCACACAAGTTTTCTCTCGACTTTTAATAGAAATTATTGGTTAAAAAAAATGGGCTATGGTAAAAATTTTTTTTATTAGCAATATTAGACTGCATTGATTTTTTTTACGCTCATCTTCCATAGGCCGGTTCACATTGCTTTAGTTAATCTAATCTAAGTCGTATTTAAATCTTTTCTTTTATCGATTTTCTGGAAAATAAATATTATTTTATTTTATTTTGTTTCTTAATGGACATATTTAAAGATATAAAAACTTTTCTGGAATAGGTAGGAAAGTCGTGTGATATTTTTAGTCCAGTTTTTTATGTTATTACTTGTACAGCGATTTGGTGCAAAGATTTCTTTTTAATAAAGATATTTGTTCGTTAATACAATCAATATAATATAACAAAGACGTTATTATAGCACTATAACTAAGTCATTTATGAGTACTGAGTGGTGTGGTAGAGGCCTGAGGCACCTACGCCAGTAGCGCTTTTCTGCCGCTTATGTACATTTTCTACGGAACTACTTCAAATATTTTAAAAAGTAATCAGTGTTTTAGAAAGAGAAATATATTCTCCAGATGTTTTATTTCAGCACGTTTTGCATTATTGTTGACCGTTTGATTACAAACGACGCTTGATTTTCAACTTGAAAATTTTTTTGTAAAAAAAATTGACTTTACCGATTTTTTTTAATGCCTAAGCCAATTAGTTTTTAATATTTTTTCATGGTTTATTATTCTATGACTATCCAGCTTTAATAAAACACCAACTATAATGAAATTAAGCCAAATGCTGATTCTCAGTAACAAAAAAACTAAGTAAAGTCAAAGTCGTCAATCCGCCATGTTTGGACGCCACTTTCACGTTCACTTTTTTTTGTGGGAACATTGGCTTTTTTTTAATAAATTGTCACAAGGAACACAACGATATGCAATTTATAGGGATGTGGGGGGGGGGAGGGTGCACGGTAAGGGGGTCTGGCCCACAGACTAATACGTATGACTGTAAAATCACCACAGAAAACATTTTGTTTTTATTCATGAAATATTTCATGAAGCAGTTGAAACGTTGTGATTATCAATATCAGCTTCTTAAGATACTGTAATAGTTTTTCTTTAAACTGTTTAATACTGTTAATTGTTAAACAAGTTAATTGATGTAGCGTATCCTGCATGTACAGTGTATCTAATTTAAGTATTATCGGTGTATTGAGTGATTAAGTCAAATTAATTAATTTCCTTAAATTCTGACCAGAAGTGTATATGAGTAAATATGACAACTAAATAAGCCTTAGATAGAGTAGCGAGATGGACTTTCTCTGGTAAACGGGTCTGTGGATGTGTGCTAACCCGACGGCATTCCTGACCCCAACTCACCGCGCTGGTTTTGTTTTGTTATTTTTGAAGTTTCTCTCTCTAGTTTAATATTCCCGTTTTATTTTTTTACTGCCAGGAGAAGCCAGTTAAATAATTATATTAGTAAACAATACTGTAAATCATTCTATTTTATTGGAAGACGTTTAGAATTCTTTATATTCCAGACACATCACAAGACGAAAAGGATTTCGGTTACCGCTGAGTAGTGGTTTTCGTGGTTTCTTTGTTAGTCATTGCAATTAAGCTAAAAATTTCTTTGTAATGACCAAACCATGATTTTCAGAATTATTTTCAGTAAACCAATGGATTTCCAATGGCATAC